GAATATCAACCTCAACAAAAGGATAATCTGCGAGCAACCGTTCCGCTTGAAAATTCTATCCCGAGGAAGCAAAACCTGGCGAAAAAGAGACAGGCTGTTGCAAATGGATTTCATCACAATAATGAAAATTTTTCGGGATCACCCGGGACTGGAATACATTTGCACATCGTCAAGAGGAAATTCGAAGAACTAGTGTTTGAGCAAGAAATTCCGGAAACGGATCGCGTTCAATTGATGCACAACTGTTTGTCAGGTATAGCTCAGGAATATTTTTATTCTACAGTACGAAGCACTGCAGAAAATAGCGAAGCTGCATTCGATATGATTTTGGAAAGGTTCAGCTCCAAACAACATCAGTCTCAGGCCTTAGCATACCTTCGTCGACTCTCCTTTTCTGGAATTAAGAGCGAAAAGTCATGTTCAGATATGGAGGCTCTAGCAGCTGCACATTCACGTATTTTAGAATACATCCCACAATGCGGACCATCATACCAAAACGAACATCAAGATGGACGCATGGGTGAGTTCCTCGCAGGAATTGTCGACTGACAGCCTTGGGCTGAGCACGTCCTTACCGCACGAATAACCGCGAATGGCAAAGAGAGGGGCATGGACTACAATTCGCTTTATGCTATGCTGGTCTCAGCCTTGACACTCGTAGACAATAGAGAAAAATCGGACACCTCACCAAAAGGAAATCCCGCTGACTCAGTGTTCTATGGTGAGACCTATGGAAAGCATATCCCAAGAAAAAGGAACACAACGAACAGATATAGCTCTAACAAGTTTAATCGAAAAAGAAGAACGCCCAGCAAACTTCAGGCTCTAAAACAAAGAACAAAGTGTCTAGTCTGTAAAAAGGTTGGCCACTGGAAAAATGAATGCTCGGACAAAAGGTCTACGATGACAGACATTATCAGAGCTCGTATCAAAGAAAATGGAGGAACGGACAAAGCAGCTGCCCAAGTCCTTTTTTCCTTAGCCGACCAAGAGGATTCGTATGCAGAATATGCTGCATAAGCCGAAAATGGGCATGGCCCGTGCAACGGAAGCGAAGAACACAGCGCTCTCAACACTTTCGAAAGCCTTTACAGCGCCGCGGAGTCCGGTTCCGGTCTAGACGATTCTCTTCAGAATACATTCGAAACTTTGCTCACTGGTCTAGGAAGCGATGATGAGCCCCAAGAGATATGCAACGACACAGGGGATTTTTGACTGCCAGCGCACCTTTCGTGGACAGTTCGCTGGCTGACAAAGCTCCACTACCTACATACTCACGATCTCCAACGCTTGCTACGGGTTCTAAGATGCATAGGTGTAGAACGATTTGTGGGACACGGCGGAGCATCGGTCAAAGGAAATGGCAACACAGTTCGCCCGAGGAACGGATCCCGATCGATATACACTACGTGAGAGACGCCTTTCTCAAATCGAAAAGGTATTCTGCAGGCCCACCCCCGGAATTTGCCGGTGCATGCATTGACATTGGATCACCTCGATCCTTGATCGGGCTCAGCCAAGCAAAAGCTTACTGCAGGGCAATGTGTATCAAGCTAAATCTGTCTCCATCTCGAACCTGTTTCAGATTTGGCCCCTATCCTACACGCTCACTTGGCAAAATGGCAATCCTACTACCAACTCCGGGAAGCACTATACCATTGAAGGTAGACAAGTTCGTGAAAATATTCCGATGCTTATTGGACTATACGTATTATTGCAGCATTGCTTGGAACCTTCAGTACTGAAACGATCCCTCAATTGTACAAAACAAGATTGGTCACTCCCTTTGCAAATGAAACATGGACATTTGTATCTCTGTTGGAACCCATGCTCGTTTTCAGTATTTTTCACTCGGAACCAATTGGAGAGGTTACATCGACACATGCTCCACCCTTCATCACGCAAACTTTACGACCTTTTGCGCAAAGCTGATCCGGAGAACCTGCAACCCGATACTCTGAAGACCCTCAAGGATGTATCAAAGGCATGCGAGACGTGCACTCTATATGCTCCCAAACAAATCACATTTCGCATCAGAGACGCAGATAAGATCAAATTCAATCATCGCATATTGATGGACATCATGTTTCTGAAAGACAGACGGCAAAAGTCTAGACCCGTGTTGCATGTTATAGACGCTGGAACTCGTTTTAGTACCGCAGCATTTTTGAAGGACAGTAGCACAACCACAATTTGGAATACGTTTATCAAAATTTGGTCTTCAGTTTACGTTGGATTCCCGGAATCATTACTTACAGATCAAAAGGGTCTGTCTTTCTTTCTCGAGAATGGAAATACAACTGCGAATCCTCCCGAATTGAGCTACTTAACACAGGAACAGAAAGTCACAATTCCTTAGGGATTGGCGAAAAGTATCACTCCACACTCCGAACAATTTATTGAAAAGTACTGTGTGATCACCGCGCCTTGCCCGAAGATATAGCCCTTGCTAAATCGGTCCAAGCAATGAACGAGACCGTTGGACCTCATAGACTGGTGCCCACGCTATTGGTTTTTGGGGTAGTCCCGAAACTGCCCGATATATCCGAGCGTGATTTTCCTGTACAAAGGGAGCGACTGAGACCGGCCTGCACGGCAAGACAGGAATACGAGAAAGTGGTGGCCAAGAGCATTGTGCAGCAAGGCCTACGCACTGTACCGCCACCGGCTGCGGATCACGTTTACGTATCAGGAGACTTCGCATACGTGTACCGGGAAGGCCTAAAACAATATATACTGGTCCACATCTCGTAGCATCGGTGGAGGAGAAATGCATACGTCTGCAACTAGGAGAAAGTACTGGCCCACGTCCTTTTAACATAGCTCAACTTCGACCGGCACCACTGCAACGACACCCAACATATGACGAACAATTCTCTAGATCTGAAACCGACCATAACACAGTAATGCATACCGAAACGCTGGAACCTGGAGATGCTAGAGAACATCTGTTCGACGATGCTAAAAGAAAAGAAATACTCGGGCTAATTGAGAAGGGAACCTTTAAGATCGTACTTGAAGAGGAGGCAGGACCGCATCCGAACATAGTCCCGTCACGATACGTCCTCACAATCAAACACGCAGATAATGGATCCACACTTTATAAGGCTCGCTTAGTCCTTGGTGGACATCGCGATAGAGAAAAGCACTCCGTGGTGCACAATACATTCAATCTGAAACAATCGTCAGTGCGCATTATGTTGGCATTGGCTCCTCTTCTTGGATTCGAAGTATGGTCACTCGATGTAAAACAGGCGTATCTACAAGCAGCATCAGAGCTACAACGCAAGGTGTTTACTCGCCCAGCATCCATTGAACTTCGACCAGATGAACTAGTGCAAATATTGAAACCATTGTATGGATTGACTGACTCCAGAGATTATTGGTGTGAGACCAATCACAAGTTTCACCTAGAAAAACTGAGAATGGAACAGTCGACAGGGGATTTTGCTCTATTCTTTAGAGGAATAAGGGACCAACTAGTATCCCTATCAGGCTCGTACGTGGATGATGTTTTTCAAGCAGGTACAAAGGAAGAGAAAAAGCGCTTGCAAACCCACTTCAAGAATGAATTCGACATCAAACTGAACAACGAAACAAGTTTCTCCTATACAGGGCTCCAATGTGACACCTCGGATAGGAATGAGCGAAAGTTATCTCAAAAGAAATATATCGAGAGACTAAGGTTCCTGACAAAGACCTCCACGTTTCAAGAGTTTAGATCTCTCCGGGCTCGTCTGGCCTGGGTCGTACACACGAGACCAGACATAGCATGCGCTGTGTCCTTTGCTGCACAGATCACTGAACGCATTCATGACACTCACTGTAACCAGGCTTTGGACAGAATTGTCAAGCATTTGAAGCAAACGGCAGAGGTTCAGCTGAGATTCCCAAAGCTCGACATAAATTCGGTTAGGCTGCTGGTGTACACTGACGCCTCACATAACAACAGGGAACAGAATAGGTCGCAGCTGGGGTACTTGATTTTGTTAGCAGACAAGTTTGATCGATGCGCGTTTCTGCATTACTCTTCATACAAATCGACGCCAGTGATGCGATTATCAATGGCTGGTGAAACTCTCGCTTTTGTAGAAGGCTTTGACTGCGCACACTTAATCAAACACGACCTTTCAAGAATTTTAGGGCGATCAATTCCGCTGCTGATGTTCACCGATAGCGAGGCTCTATTCCAAGTTTTGACTAAGTCGAGGTATACAACAAAAAAAGACTAATGGTTGACATATCGGCAGCACGAGAAGCATATCAAACGAACGTCATTTCTAATGTTGCCCTTATCAGCTCCGAGGTTAATTACGCTGACGCCCTGACGAAAATTAAGAGCAACAGCGCCCTACAGGGATTGCTCCGCTCTCACCTTGTGCAACACGACGTCCGACAGTGGGTCATGGCCCCGCTGCACAGGCAGGTGTTGTCCTCCGACAAGAAAATTGCAGGTGTGTAGAGAAACACATGTGCTTGTCAGTCGTCAACACTCGTGTGTACTCACAACGGACACACGTGTGCGAGATGGGATACGTTGAAACAGATAACACGTGTAGAAGCTCGTTGCTGATAATGTGGAAGAAGCAGACAACATTTCGGAGAGCTGACAGAAAATAATGCAGACAGCGAGCGCAACTATTAGAGATGCGGCGTTCTTGTTACTGACAAATGTATGTACCCTACCGCTTTGTAGAGCGAGGAAAAGAAGAAGAAAGGGCACGTAATAAATCACCAACTGTGAGTATTCACGATATTCTTTGGCAAGAATTTGCTACCGCGTTCGTACCCGAGACCCCGTGCGCTTCTGTGCGAGACGACCATCCTTTGTCACACACACTGGAAGAATATTTTTGTATCTTCCCCCCCTGGATTTCACAACAAGGGTTGGCACGGGGTGCTCTTATATCGTGGTCCCCACTGTATTTGCGTTTGCTCTGTAAGAAGCATCGCGAATGAAGTTTCCTACTCACACGTTGCACACGTGTTTAGAAAAATTCTAGCAGAATTCTGTCTCACAACTTGCAGGCTGACGTATGATACCCTTGTTGTAGACATTTTTACAGTATTTATGGCCGCCGTCCGACAGCACGCGACGGCGGCGGAAGTCATCGCCCTTTTTTTCACAGAAGCGTAAATTTACGCTCTCCAGTATGTCTAGGTCACAAGACTACCTTCAAGCGCGGGCCCTTACGGCAATCAGTTCTGCAATCAGTTCTGCAATCTCTTCTCCACATATTCGTTCCCCCCACAGCTCTTAACTGGGTATCAGAGGTTCCCTTCTTCCCCAACGGGAAGGCATCTATGCATCATCCTCACACGTCGCGATACTTTCCACGACGAAAACAGACCCACGACATGTTGATGGAAATCTTCATTTGTTGAAATTCACTTCTTACGTTATCCACCCCGCTCCGCAGCGCGCTTATCCCCCTTCGCCCCTTTTCTCACCATCCATGCAGCGAAAGCAACAATCTCCATCGGTAGATCTTCACGCACATAGACAGCATGCTCGCCATTCCTCCACCCGTGCCCCACGACCTCCCCTACCAGGTCCTCCCTCTTCTTCGTGGTCCTGACGTGTTTCGACCCCTTCTTCGAATATCCTGAACTAAGCTTATATAAGTCCCATCGCTTTCGCATCCGACTCCGCCCACTCACGAGTTCCCACGACGACTTTCCCATATCAATCTTCACCACACGCTCAGACTTTCTCTTACCACTCGTCGCAGTGGCCAGCCTCCCCTTTCCGTTGGATCCGAGAAGCGTCCAATGAGTACCATGCCCTTCCTTTCTTACCTCAAATGTAGAAGATCTGTCCCAAATGATCAAGCTGCCACTGCCACTTCTGCCTGAGAAGCGCAGTTCTGCGATAGAGTCCCCACTGCCTGGATCATGCATAGTGCAGTTTGAATTCCAGTTTGACGCGGAACTGACGAGGAGGTGGCGGTAGCTTGACGGTGACATTGTGGGGCTCTTTGGGTGATGATGATGATTGTGGGATAGCGCCGGTGTGCGGAACATGATGTCTGTTGTGTCGCTGTTATATGCGAGACGAGTGAGGCACAGCGAGCGAGGGTGGCAAGCGGCAGACTGTATGAGAACGTAGATGCACGGCAAACGGCTTTCGTCCAGAGTATCTGGATAGATACCTCACTTGCTGCTTGAATACAGGGAGTGGTGGGATGGGCACCAACCCAGTGAAGTTGTCTGCGGTGAGCCAATGTTGGAGAGTAGCGAAAAGTCGTGAGATGTTCCAAAGGAACGCGAATGAGGAAGAGGATGTGTGCACTGGGGAACACGGCGGCAACAAGCAAGTGCAGTCAGTGAAGCGGGGATACGGAAAAGGAAAGTCGGGAGAGTGGATCATGGTTTTGTGCGTGGGACGTTTATTCCTCCGGATTGCTTATCGATGATGTCTTACAGCTTTATTGCATTTGAATTCCTGTTTGGTTTTACTGTACGCGGATTACCTCCGCCATGCCACGTTGATCCCAATCTCACGGTAGGATCCATGATGCAAACGCGTGGCGGACAGGCGTGGATGCGACGACAGCGAAGGACAGTCCACTTTGCTGCGAAGTCGAATCATTGCTACCCTTTACATTAGGCCCGACATCCAATCCCTATCCTCAACTGAGAAGGAAAATACCTTCTTTACAGTAACCACCAACATCTCCTACCTAGGAGGGCCGTTGAGACCTGAACGCCTTTTGCTCTCTCTCTCTTTCTGCTTCCACCACTTTTCACACCACCGCCCTTTTTGGAATCCCCTTCTCTATAATATTTATGAACATATACAGTACAATGTATTACTACTACTACACTCAGAAGCGATCCATCCAGGGGCGTGGCAGTTACCTCTGATGATGATACAGCACTTCTCGCCATGACAACAACACTTTCTCTATCCATCCAAGAAGCTCTCTTTTAGCATCGCATACTTTTATGGTTAACTACCAGCTTCATTCGCTGAGCACACTCGATACAGAATTAAACGCTGCCAGAAATCTCCTCCGTTTGAGTTGCCGCTACCCAAACAAAACTGCCAGAGACGACCAAATAATCTCTAGAGTTGCCTCCGTCTATTATATAGTCACCCTCATATATTTGTACGCATTCTCACGCATGGTCATCCTCGCCACGAGGTGTGCTTTCGATTGGTTTCCTTTGTCTCATAGCCTTTATTATATACTGGTAATGTTGAGTGCTCTTTCACCGACGCTCTCGGGAGGCTTTTCGCCTTGCACAACTACTCTGGAGACGACGAAACAACTCTTGATTTCCAACAGGGAATTCCCTATGTCGAAATAAACACTCGCATCTTCTTGCCCTCGCCAAAATTTCATCATCTTTTCATGTCATAATGTTGAGCTCCACACCGCTGTCAATCCATGAGGGTCTCCCCTTAGGAAGTCACGGTTCGAACTGAGTCCACAATGGAACTCAAAAGACAACTACCCAGAATAGATGTCCATTTTCATCATCTTGCCTTCTCATTTCTTTGGGGTTTTCATACTACAGTGCTCTACGCTTCGCTAGAGTGTCGCGCAGAGGAGATAACCTTTTTTTTTCTTGAAGTGAACGTGCTGGCACGAGCTGGCATGGAGCACCGCTATTTTCTACCAGTGCTTCTCATTTTTTTTTATAGAACAGAAGCTCACGGTTTGTGTGTCATTCGCAAAAGTGACGCTATATCAAAAGCTTCATAGGAATCCTTGCATCGCTTACCGAAAGCCACGTTCCATTTCAAAGATAGCTGCTATCTTGCCCGTTGTTCAAGACAAGGCCACTCCACTAGGCCAAGGGCGAAATGGACGACGTAGGAGCTGGCCTCCCGCGAATCGCACATATGCTACCTCCTGTTGCCCTTGGATTCGCCAATCTTGGACTGTGGCCTTCCTGCGGTTGGGTTATGGTCATGTCCGTAACCGAAGGTTTCCGTTCGCTATTCCAACACACGAGAAGAGCGTTTTTCGGGATACGGTATGTTGTAACCTGGTTTCCTCAACCAGTACTCCCTCATATCGCGATAAGTGAACGTGTACCGAAGGTCCCCTCCCCCTCCCCTCCCCCTCCCCCCTCCCAAAATACCACATATTTGCATTTTTACGTGCAAAGGCTTTGTGATTGGCGGTTGTTGAGAAAAGAATGCGAAGCAACTGATCACAACATGTTAATATGTTTTGCTGCGAGAAGACGTTCAGCTCCGCAGCGACGCTCGCACTTCCCAAAGGAGATAAACTACGCATAAATTCTGTATGGTAGGAATCATCAAAATGATAGTATAATTGGACCTCTCCGAACTGATGTTGATCAGAATTGATTCCACTGGAGGGAAGATACCTTCGCTGTTGGAGTCATAGCTAGTGTATTTCAGGAACGTTGGTGCTTCTTATTTCCAATGCGAACAAATGCCATCGGGGCTAGCAGGCCTCAGAATCGCTGTACTCCATGGAAGAGGTATTGTTTTCTTTTGGCCTGCATCGATCTGAATATATTTAATACTGCAAATGCTTCATGCCTATTTCTTGTGAACATACTTGGCGTTCGATCTCTTGCCCTCACGAAAGACCATACTTCTTAACGATTTAAGTTAAAATTGCGTATTCTGAGGAAACTCAGAGATTGGGGCGATAGACCTGATCCTCTACTAAGAGAGCGTGCATTTGTGTACTCGTCTCCCAGTATGTAGCGTTTTGAAAAAGCTACTTTCCACCATGTCAGGGCTGTCTTTCGAAGCTTTGAGGCTCTCCCGAGCGCCTGCAAGTAGACGACCAGATATTCTGATATTTCTTTGTTCGTTATCGAGCAAGTCTTACGTGCGGAAGGCAAAGGAACTTCTCGTCCCATCACAGGAAGTCCTCCCTCTCACTCAAAGAACAAAGCATCGTAGCCAGGAGATAGAAAGGCGTTATGCGAGTGATATACTGCACAGCATCGGAACCACGATATGAATGAGAAAAGTAAGGGGCCACAAGAGACTTTAAATATTCGGCCAGGAGTTAAAGCACCAAGAACTATTTGCCGAATCAAAGATGACGAGAGGAAGCCACGACGAGTGACAAGAATAGGGACCGTAGAAGCAGTTTCAGCGTATGTGTTTATCGTGATTGTCAACGCGGAAAAGTGTTGCCAGTCGTGCGGCATGGCCTTCGCATAATAAGCCTACTACAAGGACTGCTCCTGACCCGACCCTACGCTTCTGAAACCAGTCAAACGTCCTCGATTGGTGAGACGCCGCAGGCATTTGTAGGATCCCATCACAATTTGATTGTCTTTCGATGTGCCAAGGCCGACGGCGCTCGTTCCGCCCTTTACAATTTCGGCGTTCAGGTACAATTTTTTTTCGTCAGTTTGCTCTTTCCCCAACTCCCTATAGCCCTTTCCGCCCGCCCCTCCTTGATCCTGTCCCATCCAAGTCAGCACTTGCTGCAACCCGCCGTTGAATACAGTCGGGAAAGCCCAACAAAGCAATCGAGAGATAACTGCCATGCAGACTGGGATCCAGATTATAATCGTTCGAAGATTCTGCAGGTCCTCCACTGAGTCTTGCTTTTTATAAACGTTTGTCGCCAACTTCTTATCGTCGCGATCGGCAAATGTTTTTTGAAGTGCAGCTCGAATTCCATATGCACCCACGACTCCCCGAATTAGCCCATCCCATTCTTGAATGTTAGAGGTCACCCATTTGGAAACAATAGCGATGCCCCTCCGCCCGATCGCATTTTCCAATGCACGATCAAGCAAATTCTTGTCGTCTCCAACAACGCGCGGAGGAAGCGATTGAGAATCCTCGGCAATTGTGCCATCAACCATAGACAATCCCATAACTCCATCATCGTTCATCTGAACATCTATGGTAGCTTTAGCAGCGCTGACCTTACATGGAATCGTTAAGATGGCAGTTGACCCTTCGTCTTTCTTGATAGCGAGGGAAACTTTGAACATCGCTTTACCCTTTTCAGTTGCTGTGTGATTATCTTCCAGTATTCGGCAATTCTCGTTTGCGGTTCCGGCGCCCACATGTTCAAGGGTGGATATATCTACCGATCGCTCTTCAACGGTTGGCTCGCACTTGTATAGCAGCCCTTCCACTTCAGATACGCGGGCTGCGACTATGTCTGCGTTTTCATCACTGTTGCAATCCGTCGAATAAGGTCCAATCTGAGGCGTTTTTGGCACAAAAACTTGTCTTGCTGTTCCGGCAATCTCGTATGTTGCGTAGTGTTCTCCTCCTGGAATGATGCGGAATTTTTCGTCGCTCATATTGAAAATGTAGCTTTGCCCAGTAGCGCCGTAATTGTCACCAATGCGACCACCGATGCAATTTGTCCCAACCTGGAGGTCGGCGACGCGCACACGAGGATTCTCCTCCCTTTCAAGGACGACAGAGAGCAAGACAGGTGCAATAATAGCTCCAAGAGCCATCACTGAATACACAAGAACTTTGTACAACGTGCCCTGGACAGTGCTGACACTGGTAGTGGTACCGATAGCATGACCGAGCTGTGACCGAGTCATGCCCTTGAAAACAAGTAAGTAATCAATAGCTACTGCTAAGATGTCGTGCACGAAGACGAAGAGGGCGGCTTCTAATTGCAGTGTAAAGAGAAGAAGCTTCCACTTGATGAATTCACCTTCGAACTTGACAATTCCAGAAGAGGAATATACGGTGAGTAGAATAGCGGACGCGATGCTGAACAAGGTTAAGGCACTACGGGCCGTAAATAAGGTGAGCTTTGCAGAGCCCTTCCATTCAGGGACCGGAGAATTCTGTTGCGAGTCAAAGCGAGAAGAGGTTCCTGGTGGTAGTGGTATGGTGAGGGTCTCATGAGATGTGATGGCTTGTTGACAAGCCTGGAAGGGTAAACGATCGCCAGATGTGAGGGGGTCCATGGAAGGTTGCAGATTTGTTTGGTGGAGCGGATGTTGTGGCAAGGAGGACTGGGAAGAACGGGACTGGTTTCCATCTGCCATGATGGCAGGGAGGTTGAGCTTCTTTCAGGGAGGGTTGATGCCAGGGAGATGGAAAGAGTGAAAGAAGAGGACGAGTGGTGAACTGTCCACGATGTGAGACTGTTGCAGGGAAGTGAGGATGACATACACGAATGGGGCACCGAAGAATGTACCGAGCATGGGGGTGCCACAAAAAAAGAAGAAGGGGAGCTAGGGAAATGTGCGATGTCACTTTATGTCAACATGAGCTAAGAATTGAGTGCGGTCGAGTCAAATGATGAGAACAAGCAAAGGCGTGAAAGTGATCTGCTACGCGCCAAAGCGTTTTTTCGACTACTGTACAGTATTTGGAAAAAAGCGATCTTCCACAGGTCCCTAGCTATGTAGTATGCTGTACCTACACGCTTCATGCATCGTTGCCAAAGGACTCTGCATCGTTGCCAAAGGACTCTGCATCGTTGAGGACGCAGAGTTTGACAGCAATATAAGAAGCATCGATCAACTTTGATACTGTAGTGCCACTCATATTTCAAGACTCAAGGAGGTTGGATCAGAAGTTTGGGTGCAACGTTATGCCTGTAGCGTGAGCTGTCCTTCAGACGTCGTCGCTGAAGGGTGCTTGTAACCATTGTGTTGCTAGGCTCCTGAACGATGGCCTGGATTCGGTATACCTCGTTGTACACTCTGCAATACAGTGGTGGCAAAAACTATAGGACATTGGGGCTTATTGGGTCCCATCGGCGCAATTTTTAAGTAAACATTAAATGCCTTGCTGGGTAGTTGGTCCGTGCGGCGCGGAGCGAGAATCCGAAAACAGAATGCAACTACGACAAATATTTCCCAAGATATCCCCCTTTTCTCGACACGCCCCCGGCAAAAACTTTAGGTACACTTTAGTTACACTTACGTCCGAAACCCGAAAGCGCGGGGAGTGCTAGGGCCAGTGCCGCCAAACATTGGCAAATAGTAGTTTAAGTATCTGCCACTGTAGGCATCCGCGAACCCAATGTCAAGCACCCTGCTCGTCCGCCACAATGCCTCGCAAGCCACGGTTGTCTGACTTCGAGAAGGGGCAAATTTTGGCCAACAAGTCAAACTGCTGGCCTGTTACACGCATGGCAAGGGAGTTAGGACGCTCTAGGAACGTCATAACGGCCTTTCCTCGAAACGAGAACGAGTATGAGGACATCGCCGTCCTCATATGGGAACAAGCGCCGGTCGGATAGACACTAGTACTCAAATACAGTACCGGTACTGCGTGCATGGGCGCAAAGCTGTACCATACTGCACACACCGTCCTGAACAGCACAAAAGGTTATCGTACGAACTGCAAGAAGATTAACCAAGATTGTTCACAAATGCCGGAATTGTTGCCGGCAGCATCGATGATGACAACGGATGACTGGGCGGGCAGCGATAAATGTTGCCACCTGTGGTATTTCACAGAAATACGCAGGTGAGGTAGGAAAAAATAAAGAGAATTTTATGTTCGTCAACCCTTCGACCGGGTTGATATCTCGCAATGATGGGGGCTCGTGTGATCGAGCCACTCCACCTGCGGGATGTCGAACACAATTCTGTCTGTTTCTCCTTCTTCCTCTCTCGCAATCCGAGAGAGGGCCTTGCTTATAAAGGCAGAGAAAAAACAGGCAAGTGCATCAACCTTACGGTAGTATACAGAAGTGCACACGTAGGTCGCTAATTTCTACAAAGAAGCTTAATTTTGGTAGCATCCAGCAATGTACAGCAACTGCCGTACATTGTTGGAAGCAATTACTGTACAGTATCCAAAACAAATTTCTCCCAACCTCAAATTCTGACTTGTTGCAAACTACTGTAAAATACCCTTGCTGTATGGCAAATGCCTTCGCATTTGTGCAAACGCGCAAACGCGCAGCGTTTTGCATAAACGTCGGAAAGGCACAGGATGCGTCGGCTCTTATTTCTTCTATTGAAACGCTGCGCGTTTGCATAAACGTTTGAGCGATTCGCGATTCTCGCCTGCTGGGCTTGAGCCGAAACTAAAGAGCTGGAAAGTTGTTGTAGATCAGATACCCTTCACTCTTCATATGGTCTGCACTACATATACTGACGCATTTAGGATTGATCCCAAGAAATTCAAATCTATGCTAACACTGTCAGTGCTAACACTGTCTCTGGACCCAAAAGACAAACGGCAAACTTCATGCCTGCCAGTGCTGTCCGTTGGAGATGTTCGCTCGCGTAACAGAAACCACCTTGCAAAGACACATTGCACCGGTACAGTGCAGTAAGTGGCAGGCCGGTGCCTTCTTATCTCTTTGTTCTGTCCTGTCAAATCGCTGCGGGGCTCGATATGCATCCAGTCCCATTCACTTGGGTATTCAGACTCAAGCCGCTTGACGACGTTGGGAACGTCCTTCACAAAGCTCGGTGCTGTGTACGTGGTGATGAGCAGAAGCCATTCACTGACTACGATCCAGACAACACCTACGCTCCAGTGGCCACACACGAAACGCTTCGCATCTTGCTGGCGTTCGCAAGTAGTCACAACCTGGAGCTTGAAGGTGCAGACATTTCTAATGCCTATCTCTACGGCAAACTTTACATTCCAGTTATTATGAAACAGCCCACGGATTCAAGTCGGCTTCAAAGGAAGCCTGGTCATGTTGCTAAAGTACATGGTTCCATGTATGGAACCAAGCA